TATAATAAATTTATTGATGATTATTTAGTAACTGAAGCTACTTTACCAACAAACATTGGAGCAGTAAGATCATTTCACATTATTATACTTTGAAGTTGCTTGTTTTAGATTGGTAATACAAGTTCATCTAGTAGTTTCATGGCTTTGGCAGTTAGTACTGGATTTATATTAAGTATATTATCCTTATGTGGTGACATGTAATATATTATATTTTTTATTTTAGTCATCATAATAATAGGAATAGCTTCTTGTGTTGTCATCGTGCTCATTGTTGTAATTTACAGGCATAATAAAAACAAACAACCTCACAATGAAGAGCAGGCACATGACAATCCAATGTTTCACCATGATGAAATTAAAGATGCTCAAGTAAAAGAGCTAGGCTCAATCCAATGAGAGCTATAATGAATCTAGTGTGCTGTATTTTGTTTTACCCTTAAATGAACTCAAGTCCCAATTTTTTGCTTTATTTTTTCTAATTTTTATTAAACTTTTTATATTTTTAAACAAGCCGCACAATTTTTTGTTTAAGTAAAATTTTATCAGAAAGCCTTACCTTTTTTATTTTATGGGTGGGGCCCGTATGTTTGCATTCATTAGGAAATGGTTCGCAGTACTACATCTAGGCTGAGGTACAGTCGTGTAACTGAGGATGAGGATGGTCTGGAGGATGCAGCTGCTGATCCAAGGGACGACTGCAAGTATAACTTATTCTGTAGAATTCTCTTTTGGTAAGTGGAACAAAAAGCCTCCGTAGAATTGAGTATATTTGAACCCAAATACAGTCTTTTATGAGCTCAATGATAATGGCTGCCACTGTCACAGAAATAATGATTATTTCATGCTTGTGATATCACTGGTGCGTGTGTGTGCATGCCCAATTTATTTTGCTCCTAACCAGTGTTCTTGCTGCCATGTTGTAAATTTATCTTTGTACAAACTGTATATTAGAGACAGGTTGGGCTTAGGTATATTACTATAAAAACAGCAGTGTAATTACATGTTCTGTAAGCAAAAAACAACAGAATAAACAAAAGTATAATAGTCAAAGTATATAGTCAATCTGTCTTTATTTTATATTCTCATAGTCGCCCCAGCCACCAGTGCCAGATTTTATTCAATTAACACTGTTCCTAACTTCCAACCAACTTTATTGCATGAGTGAAAGTTGCTACATGTTATAAATGGTTATTTCATGGTAAAGTAATTTTATGGAGAGCCAACACTACAAGAGCAATCCAATCACACATTATAGTAATCTGCTTTGGCCCTGACTACCTTTGGCTTTTATTAAATATGTAATAACAATTATAGCATTAGTGTCCAACCAATAGTAATACATATGTGGTTAATGTTGATTGTACTCCAAATTAATCTTTAGTGTCATTATTTAACTATTATACTGTCAACTTGTTATTATGTTTCTTTTCTTAAAGTTGGTTGGATCCATTATTCTGTATTCGTTTTAAGAAGCCAAGTCTTGATCACACTGATCTCTATGCTCATCCTTCTGAATGTGACGCATCATATCTTCATAATAAGTTCATGAGGTAGTCACCACAGTTACATGTATACATCTAAAATGAGGATCAATTATATCATTAGATATTGGTCTAGTAGGAGGACAGAAAATGTTAGACTGTGGTATGTTCTCTTTAAGTGTTTCTGGTGGAGAATAATAATGATTCAGATATTAGCATTAATCCTAGTATGTGTATTTACTATTAGACTATTATGTATTGTACTTATTATTAGGTAGCTATATTTGTGACTGAGTCTGAAGTCCTTGGACACTTAACTAGTTATTTTGTAATCATAAATCCAACA